TTTTGGAGATTTTCAACGATGTAAAATTGACGAGTTAGCTAAAGATAAATTCTAGTGGGTTAAACTTGAGCTTGGACTAATATTCAAAATATGCTAACTTAAACGAAGTAAAGCCTAATAAGGAGGAAATTAGTGAAAAGTTTTTGGTTTTTAGCAATTGGATGCTTATAATTTATAGTTAATAAGTTTATAAAAAATATATTGAAATTTTAGTTGATCTAATATTAATTTTTATATATTTAATTTTAAAGATAATACAAAGAGTTAAGCGAATATACTACAATTGTTTATATAACAAATTAAAAAAACTAAAATGGCTGATGGTATGTGAATTTTTAAAGGTTTCAATAGTGAAAATTTAAATTTAATTGGTTAAATTTAAAAAGAGTGATTTTATGGATTAGATGAGATATTGAATATAATTAAATGTACATAAGAAGGTAACTTATATATAATGTATTAAACGCTCTGGTTTATTAAGTATGCTAGAAGTTTGGTTTATATATACTATGAATTATAATAATAACTAATATTATTAATATAATAAAAGTGAATGTAAAGTAGATAAGTAATAAATTACTCTTATCCAGACTTTTCCAATAATTCTCGCTAGTTTCGCTAACACCAGCGAAATTGGTTATAGACTTAAAATTACTTGGACAGGGAGTGTTATTCGGTATTCTTTGATATACACGAATTGGATTTTGTCGAGGGTGATAGAGTTTTAAAATGTTGAAATGATCTAGAGGAATATCATGTGCTTCTTCATCGTATGTAAACTGAGAGTTTAGCGTATTCGGCGTTGGTAGGGGTGGTGGTATTAAAGGTGAAACTTCTGCTCCATATTCGTCGCTAATATTTATTTCCAAGTCGGATTCTTCGAATGTTATAACGCTATCACTTGTCCCGACTTCGCTATAACCTAAGTTTCTTTTATACAAGTTCATAATAATACGCGGAGATTAAATACAGTTAGTTAGTAAGTATATATTAGATTAAATTGACATAATTAACTCTCTTTCAAGTATATATAAACAATTTATATCTTTTCAATTTAAATTACTTTTTGCCCATTAATACTCGTTTACTCTCCTTAATTCTCACACTAAGTTTATTTATTTAAAATATCGTTTATGGGACAAATTTATTAAAGTTTAATGAAATTTTTTGTTTCAACTTTATTAACAGTCACCAATATTAAAATCATATATTGTATCCCATAATTAAATTTTGCTATGTAAAAAATAAGATTTAAATACAAAATCGCATTTAATATTTTAAAAGTATAGCAAAGTTAATTAATTAATTGTATATTTCTTTATTATATTACTTATTTCCTCTTTATAGATGAACCTTGGTCAACTTCAGCCTTCCTCTACTCTCCCAAATACATCAACCCAACCACCGCAAAATAGTTACCTTGCCCCAACAGACTTAGACTTAAATAACCTAACCTACACCAACCGAATCCCAATCCTATTATTCCTCGACTTGCCCCAACTTCTATGCATATATGATGTAAATTTCGGCCTTGTAATCCGTCAAAAAGCTCGTCAATTTATCCAATTCTTAATTGAAAACTACTACTTAGCTATCTGGAATTCAGACTCAGGACAACGCTCTCACCTTTATACTAGTAGTATATTTGGAGAGTTTAAGTATGAGCTTTTAGCTGTTTTAGATAGAGATAACGAAGAAGATTTCAAGGGCAAGAAAACTAAACGATTTGACAAATTCTTTGACGCTAGCTTAATTACAAATGACATACCTGGTAAAATAGAAAATGAATGCTACATAATTAGCACTTCAAGAAGTTTGTCAGTATTCCAGCCTGATAACACTCTATTTATACATAGCCAAAAAGATTGTAATAGTTTTGAAGTTAAACAAATGCTAATCCCATCAATGTTAGATACTAATACGTATCCTGATATTTTGGATAAGTTAATGAGCTACTTGAAAAAGTTGAGGGATGCTTATTTGAAGGATGAGAATTTGACAATTCAGAATTATGTTGATGAACATCCGTTTATACCTTAGTAGATAGATATAGTATATAATTTACCTTTTATATAGAATAGGTTTATTTAAATAATAACTCCATTATAGACAAATCTAAAACTGTAATAAATGTAATATTATAAAATGTAAAATATTAAATAAAGCCCTAAATTGTGCTAGTATCAAATATATTATTATATGAGCATAAGTATTGAGTCTTTAAATGAATAAATAAAGAATAATAACAATGTAAAATATAAACTAAAAAGAAAAAATCTTAAGTTTAGCATAAATATAGTAATTATGTCACTTACACAAGCCCTGGTAGCCTAATGGATAAGGCGTTGGCCTCCTAAGCCAAAGGTTGCAGGTTCGAGTCCTGCTCAGGGTAAAAAACGAGGAAATATTTTTAAATTATTTATTGTTAATTCTGGTATAATTTATAACATTGGTATTATAATAATAGTTCTAATAGATGCTGTGGTAAGCTTAGTATTTGCTCTTTTTTCTAGAATTATATAATTTAAATGACTAAGTTTTTATCAAAACCATTGACATTTCTTTATACAAAATTTCCAATAAGCGCTATCATACTTTATCATGATATATATATATAATAATTTATTAAATTAAAGACAAATATTCTCAAAACAGCTAGTTAACTTCTCAGTCAAAGTGGGATTCTTTAACTTATTTAATCTAAAAAATAATTTAGTTTAACGTGTGTATAATGTAGAATTATTTAGTTACCTCATTGATAGTCTCAAAGTCTTAATTTCAAAGGGTTTAAACTCTAGCTGAACGAATCCTTGAGCCTCCCATTCCAAATCATCATCCGAGTATGTTGCACCCATTTCCTCAGTAGTAATGTCCTCTTCAAGGATGTTAACCTCTTTAATAGAAGATACTGGCAATGGACTCATAAGTCTAACTCTTGCATGACCACCATAGGCTTCATAAAGTCTAACTATTAAATTTTCGTCAAGATCTTCACTTCGTTTGACGGTTTCTAAGAACACGTTAGAATCACCTCGCAGTTGGAAGAGGGGACTACGGTTGAAGTTTGGTTGATGAGAGATTGGTAGGTAGACGGATGGGGTAGAGAATTCGTGAGCTATTTGCATTGCATCTGATGCTAAGAATCGATTGGGATGAGGGTAAATTCCATATTGGAACTCGTGAACTTTCATATCAGAATTACCGTCTGGGCCCTTAGAACTACGAAGTAAACTCAATCTAATCTTATTGTCAAGACATGCGTATCCATATTTCAAATCGTTAACGATTGCAACACCGTATCCATACTCACTCAAGTCGCAGAATCTGTGGCCACAAACTTCGAACTTGGCCATATCCCAGCTTGTGTTGTAGTGATTAGGACGCTTAATATTACCCCATTGTGTTTCATAATGAGCATGGTCATTTCTAATATCGAATGTAAACTCAACTTTAAGGAATCTACGATTCTCTCTCCAATCTACCTTAGCATGGAAATCAAGTCTAGGACTAAGACTAGACAAAGAAACAACAATTACAGCTGAACTACCCAAAGTTAAATTATACCTAATTTCTAAACTAGCTACAACAGGTCCCATTTCTAAAATATTTACCGTTGCATCGGTGAAATTTTTAAACTTTTCTAAATGATAAACTTCAACATCCCAAGCGTCCCAGTTTAGGGGAATATCTTCGAATAATTGAAGTTGATGGGCTACTGCTCCCTCGGGGATTAATTCACGATTTACTCGTTTATCGTATAGACTGATTAACTGACCTCTATCACTGAATTTAGCTTTAATAAAGCTATTTTCTAAGAAGAAAATATTGGTAGTGGAGTCTATAGAAACTGAAACGGATTCGCCGCCATAAGAAGCTTTCTTCTCGCTCATTTTTTCATCTAGCTGAGGGTGATCCGTTAATTTAAGAACTGTTGGAGTAAATGGTTTCAAGTCAACTGCTGCCTTATACCCTACTTTACCATCATGAGAGATTTGATCAAAGTTAAGATCTTGCCCACGTTTAAACTTGTTCAATGGTACTTTAATAATTTCATTACGTGTCCAACTCAAAGTATTTAATACACCTAAGTCCGTTAAAGTTTCAGTTTCTGGATTAATTTTAGTATTTGAATAGAAAATATTTCTTAATGCATCGTCCAATAGTCGATTTCCAAGTTGATCTATCTCGTTGTAGTATTCAAAAACTTCTTGATAAGCTAATTCAATACAAGTACCAGGTAATACATCGTGGAATTGGTTACAAAGGGTCATTTTCCACATTCTGTTCAATTCTGTTTGGGGAACACGATAGCTATTATTCATAGCATAGTAGGCGTAACTAGATGCAACTTCTAGATTGTGAAGGAGTACTTCACTCAAACGGTTGCCCCGCTTTACGTCACCATGATTGGTATAGGTACCTCTGTGTAATTCAAAATAGAGCTCGCCCTTCCAAGTGACCAATTTATCGCTATCCTTGTCCAAACTACGATAAAATTCATCTGGGCCAGTCATTTTTAATTTTGGTAAGCCATCCTAAAGTTATCAGTTTAAATAACGTATTAATTTAACAAAATTAAATAATAACTTACAATATCCTTCAATCTATCATATCTCTCTAACATATCGGGACTTGGACCACCTCCACCATCACCGAACCCGAATAATAATAAAGCTTGATTGGAGTAAGGGCGATCCTTGTGGCCTTCAACACTTCTTCTCAAATCAAGTACGTGAACTTGAGCAACGTAAGTATTGCTAGGGGCCATATGGGATAAGATCTTAGAACCGTCTAAAGCTTCCCAATGGAAAGTAGTGTGAGGGAATTGATTGATGTTATTCCAGCTAAGTTTTTGAGTGAAAAAGTATTTCATTCCACATTTGCGTACAATTTGAGGGAGTTGAGCTGCGTATCCAAAGGTATCTGGAAGCCAAAATACCTCAGATTTGAATTTTAAGTGGCGATTGAAGAAGCGCTGACCGTATAAGAATTGCTTGCATAAGGATTCTCCACTAGGGACATTGGTATCCATTTCTACCCAAGTACCTCCAACGGGGTGGAATCTACCATCTTTCACCCTTTGTCTCATTTTATCAAAGGTAGAGGGATAGTTATCTAATAACCATTCGAATTGTTGTGCTTGACTTGCTGTGAAATGATAATCTGGGTACGTATCCATATGAGCTAATTGAGCAACCCAAGATCTACAAACTTTTCTTCTTGTCTCGGCGTAAGGCCAAAGCCAAGCGGTATCAATATGACAATTACCAATACAAGTGAGTTCCATCTGTCCTTGTCCGTTCTTCAACTTTAGAAAATCTTCAGAAATTTTTATACACTCGAATATAGTGTTATAATTAAACTTATCCCAAACGTTCATAATTTTGTTAGCTGCAAACATTGCCTTGTCAGCTCTATTACTATCTCTAGGAATGTCGTTGCTTAACTGTCTTAAAATTTCAAAGTTGTGGTGGAGTTTGTAGACATTTCTGTCGATTACGAGTAAATCAGCTTGCTGAATTTCATAATAGTTGTTAGGGTTTGGGGGTTCAATTCCATTAATACCGTTTAGTTGATTACAAGCGCACTCTATATAGAAGAAGAAGGTTTGATTAGGAGTGCAGCTGTCTGTTAAATGAAACAAATCACGGCCTCCATCAGCAGACATACTGTAAATAGGCTCCCCTTCGCGAGTGTATACGAGAGACTCTCCATGGAATACCCAGTTAATTCCTACAAACAAGCCATCCCAATCAGAAGGGATCCTAATATACACCTTGAACCAATGCGTACTCCAAGTAGGTCCAATACTTACATTTCTGTGAGAGGAGAGAAATCTTCCTTTAACAGCTTCATGGAATGGGATCCTCTTCAAATCAGGCACACTGTACTTCTCCAAAATAACCCAAGGAGAGTTAAGCGCTCTATGGGTATAATATTGATGACTTAAGTTTTGATCTCCCCAATAACCTCCAGGTAAAAACCTATCAATCCTCTGCCTAGTAATATCGTAATGTTTTTGCATTACCATTTTGTAAACTGAATTTATTTAAAACAAAATTAAACTTAATAACAAAAAAGATATATTATATATGTAAGTATTGGTAGTTTAAAAAGTTAAAGTTTTAAGAATAAGTAGTTAAAAACTTCTATTTAAACCAGTCCTATTTCAACTGACGTCAATAAAAATTTAACAGTCTTATGATCTAATTTTTTAATTAAGGGTTTATTAATATAATTTTGCTTATGCAATCAGTTCATAATTAATAAAATTACTAGTATCGAAGTTTAACTATAAAGATAGCTCCTATAGGCTACATATATAAAGGAATCCGTAATTTTAAATAAATGAGACTAAATAATATAAACTAATTAGTCAATTTAGAGGATATGTAGCAAATTTAACAAATTATGTTTAGAAGTAAAAAGACAGTAATAATAGTGGGATTGAAGAATAAGATAAATTTTGTATAAAATAGAAAATTAATTTGTATAAAATATAGTCATGATAACTAATACTATAATATATTTCCTCCAATAAAGGTATGCTACTATGGCCGAGTGGTCTAAGGCGGGTGACTTAAGATCCCCTCTCGAAAGAGGCGTAGGTTCGAACCCTACTGGTAGCATATTTTTTTTCTAAACTAAATAATTTGAATTAAACACTTTTTGATATAATATTACATAGTTTGATATACATAAAACATATTATTCACTTATGGCATTATTTTGGATTTGATTTATTTGTCTAGTAATTAGATCTTTATTGTTGATTTAG